ATCTAGCCATTGAAGCCGGGTTGAGTGGGTATTATCTGCAAGTGTGGGTGTTTTTGTGCATACGCCTTCTCTTCTTATCAGCTGGATGCTTCATTCTCCACTCTAGTCCTCTGTGGCTATGTCTCTGACTCTGGACCCAGGAGTCCCCAGGTCTTGCCAAACTGCTGGCCCACCAGGTTTCCACCTGGGTTCACAGGAGTGTATTGCGCATGGTTGGACTTAGCTCATAGCTTCATTGCTGTTTTTCCCTCACTTCCGCTTATCAGTGACCAACGTGGTCACCAGTCAGAGCACGTGTCTCCTCATGTATTCCCATTGAGTCTCAGCCTTGGAAGGGGGTTTGCCCTGAGGGGACCCAATTGCTTGCATTGATGTCTCCTGGGTGAGCAACTTGCTTGTTCTTTTAGTAATCAGTTGGACTGTTGTTATTGTTTTGTATTTTTCCTGTTGGTCTTTCTTTCAAGAAGTATTTTCTGTTCTTCTAGCTGCTCCAGTCTGGTCTGCTTGTCCTTTCCAGTGGAAATCTCCTACTCAGAAGATTCTGGAAGGGGTTCAGGATTCTACCTTTGGTCTTATGTAATGCAGAGGCTCTGCAGGAAGCCTCTTTCACTGGTCACGTTGTAGCCCCATTTTAGGTATTCCAATCAGTTATAGGTAGAAGACAGATTTACAAGCTTTCTATGGTGATATTTCTGGCTATTCCTTTCTCTCTCCCTCCAGTGTCTATTTTATAATGGTATGCCAGGGAAACCAAGATTCAAAAGACAGCCAAGAATCTTCACATTATTTCCCCTCTTTTGCCCATTTCAACCAGGTCTCAAGCTCTGTATCGCAGAGCCCTGTTGTTCTAAGGTTGTGCATACATCATTATTTACCTCTGACCCACTTAATCCATGCAAACCTGCCTAATTGTTTCCCCAACCGCCTTGTTATTCCATTCCACTCCTCCTTCTTGTGTATTGCCTTCCTCACCAGCACCCAAACTATCCTGTGTCTATTCCCTACCCTGTGTTCCACCTTCTTCTCCCTCCCCTCATCCCACCCCGCATCCCAGTAACCAGCAAAGAATTCCCCCCACCCCTTTAGTATGGGCTCTTTTTCTTAGTATTTTACAGCAGTGGTCCTATGCAGTATTTCTCCTTTTGTGACAGTATTGTGAATTTTATCAGAGATAGAAACATTGCCTGAATTTTATTTTGAAATGGCTTATTTTAACTTCCTTTCCTCTAGTATTATGTCATGCATCTCTGAATAAGAGATAATAATATCTTCTAAATAGAATCCTTAAAATGTGACCCATTTGATGGTGATCATCTCCAACAACAACATAATTGAGAAGACTCCGAAACATTTTTTTGCAAACAAGGATTGAACATCATGGGTCCAGCGAATCATAAATCAAAGCCCTCAGTCATCTCCCAATAGTTTTTTTATTTTTCCTTTATAGTATTATGTTTCTGGTGAATGTTTATACAGAAGTTAGGTTCTCATTGAACAATTTCTATACATATCGTTCATTGACCTTGGTTACATTTTCCACCTTGTATCAACATTTTCATTATTTCCATCCAGGTTTTTCCATTTTCATTAATCTAGATTCCCTGCCCTCTTTATAGTCTCATCTTTGCTTTCGAGTAAATATTGGCCATTTGGTCTCTTAAGATGATTTTTTTAAAGAAACAAACACAGTACTCACTGGTGATAATGTTTATTTCATGAGCTAATCTGTTATTTAGCTGAAAGGTGACCTTCAGGAGTAGAACCAGTTCAAATAAAAAATTGACTTAGGGTCTGTTGTTGTTATGTGCCCTGGAGTCAGTTTCTGAGGCTGTAAATCTTTATGGGAGCAGAAAGTCTCATCTTTCTCCTACGGAACAGCTAGTAGTTTCGAACTGCTGACCTTGCAGTTCGCAGCCCGATTCATAACCACTATGCTACCAGAGCTGGTTCTAGTTTATCTTCTTTTGACTCTGTGACCATCTATTGTGTCCCTGGCCAGAACAGTTGGTAGTGATCACTGGACACCATCTAGTTTCTCAGGATAGATGAGGCTGTAATTTGTGCAGTACATTAGTCCTATAGTCTAAGTTTCTTCTCTGAGTCTTTGGTTTTTTTCTTTTCTCCAGATGAGAACCAAACAATAGTTGTTCCCCCAGTGACTTTTTCAGGTGATGGATAGACTCCTCCTATAGCTGATCCTGGATCTTCTCTGTAGAGGTTTTCTTTCCTTAGTGGTCAGAACTGGCCAAAGACTAGCTGTGAGTGACCAGTAGTCATACTGTCTTCAACTCAGATTGACCTGCTCCTTATTAGCCAAGTTCCTATTGGAAATTTCTTGTCTTTTGGTTTATTGGTCATCTAGTAAATATCAAGAGTTCCAATGTTACAAGGAACTCCTTCATCTAATGGTCCTGATGAAATTCAGGAGGCATCACCTCATCTGACACTGTTTAAAAAGAGCACCTGTGTTGTTGCTCTGTGAATGGACAGATGTCAAACCTTTTTCTCAAGAATGTTCTGCTATTTTAGAGATAATCCTGGGCATTGCTTGTATGGTTTTCATTGATTTCTTGTGCCTTTTTATATTTTCTGGCTATAATTTTGCATTAAAGCTACAATTATATACCCCACAGAAACACCAACAACAAATCCCCAAACCACAAGTTACTATTGAGCTGCCGTTGATTCATTTTGACCCTATATATGTAAGGAGCTCTGGTAGCATAGTGGTTATGAATTGGGCTGTGAATAGCAAGGTCGTCAGTTCAAAACTACCAGCTGTTCCATGGGAGACAAATGCAGTTTTCAGCTCCTGTAAAGATTTACAGCCTTGGAAACCCTGTACAGGGTTGCACTGAGTTGGAAGCAACTCCATGGCACATAATCACCACCACCATGTCAAGATAGATTGTTCTATGTAGGGTTTTCAATGCTGTTTCTTTTGAGCTACCTTTAGGTGGATTTCAATTTCCAACTTTTTGATTAGCAGTGATTGGTTTCACCTATTTGCAATACCAGAAACCTCTACAAGTCCATAGCTCACTGGTATAGACTCGGTTCTGATTCATACAGAACCCGCAGTATAAATTAGAACTGTCTCAAAGGGCTTCCAAGGCTGTAAAACTTTAGGGACACTGGCTACCACATCTTTCTCTTACGGAGTGACTGGTGAGTTGGAACCACTGGCCTTTCAGTTAGCAGCCAAGCACTTTGCCACTGTGCCATCTTGGCTCCTTCACAATTATATAAGTGCCTATGCTTCTTGCATCATTCAACATCTGGTGTGGTACTGTAGGATAATGCACTGGACTGCAAGGTCTGTTTGAACTGCAAGGTTGGTGGTTAAAACTCACCAGCTGCTCCTTGGAAACCTTATACAGGGTCTCTATGAGTCAGAACTGACATCAATGGCCCTTAACAACACCACTTACAACATGAATTGCACACATAGGCTTTGGAAATATTGGAAATAATCATGCGCAATTAATTTCAACTGCAACTCGTTCATTTTTTTTACCCTACTCTCCTAGGTTGTTGTTAAGTGCTGTTGAGTCAATTCCGACCCATAGCCACCCTGTATAGGGTTTCCAAGGAGCAACTGGTGAGCTTGAACTGACGACCTTGTGATTCAAACGACTTTGCAGTCTGGTGCATTAACCCACAGCATCATACCAGGACTCCGAGTGTGGCACTGTGGGCTAATGTGTCAGACTGCAAAGTCATCTGAACGGCAATATCGGAGGTTCAAGCTTAACAGCTGCTCCTTGGAAACTCTCCTATAGGAGTTAATTATTTAAAATGTGAGTAATTTTATATTTTCCCAGGGCAGGGACTGTACCTGGGAACATGCCCTGGCATGGAGTCAGGCAAAATGGATTAAAATCTAGGATATCTGGACATACATACTAAAAGAAATAACCTCTCTGAACCTCAGATTCCCTATATGTATTGAAAACAAGAATGAAATTATGACGTGTGTGAAGTTGCTGCAGAATACATAGCACTGGTTTGAAGAAAGCTTTTCTCTACCATTGAATGAAAGCCCACAATTAGATTTTTAAATGGAATTTTAGTTAACTTAAGCTTAGACTTAAGCTAGGCATGAGGCTGGGGTAAGAGCATCTTCTGAGTTTCTTACTAGGAATTGGTGAATGTACATTGATTAAAGCTACTTTTTAACAGAGAATGGAGTCCCCTGTGTAGTGCAAATGGTTAACACACTTGGCTCCTAATTGAAAGTTTGGCTGCCTGGATCTATCTAGAGACACCTCAGAAGAAATATCTGATTATCTACTTCTGAAAAGTCAGTTACTGAAAACCCTATGGATCCTAGTTCTACTCTGATACTCACTGAGGAGTCAACTCGAGGGACACTGTTTTGTTGTTGTATTTTTCAGTTCTGGAGAATGCGCCTGTGATCTTTTAACCCCATAGTAGAAGTATTGCTGGTTTTTGTCTTTCATGCAAATGCATATTCCATTCCACATTTCTTTCCTACAATTGAATTTCTAGGATTGCAAATAGAATTGAGCTACTTTGTGATAACATCTTTAGCACAAAGAATCACCATAATCTTGTAAATGTACAAGTCCAAACTGTTCTACAAGGAAGAATGCAGCATGGTGTCCTAGAAAGAGCATGGATTTGGAAGTCTTACATAAATATACCATGTGCTAGCTTAAGACACATTAGCATTAGCTTCTTGGAGTGTTAGTTGTCTATCTGTGACATGAACCTAATGATCATGCTTTATCATTCTTCCTTTAGAAGATAGTATCAGAAAGCATGTTTTTACTTTTGTATCTTGTAAGTATTTCTTTTTTGGCTGAGATTTTAAAAGTGTGACTGATAATCCAATTTCCATTATAGACTTTTTTTTTTTTTTTTTTGGTAATGAACTCTATAGAAGGTAATCTGTTGAAGTCACAGAAAATAATCTTTCAAAACAAGTGACAGACAGTAGTGGCAGCCACCGAAGTAAACGTGAAATCAAGGCCAGGCTATCTTAGTGAGAAGGGAAGAGGCTGAGTCAGGAAGCATTGCTCCCTGCGGACACCAGTTTTATCTTTTCCATCAATCAGCGTAACAGGAAAATACTTGTAGTGTTCAATGATGTCTTCCACCGAGTCAAATTTCTGAAACACAGAAGAGAAAGTTAAAATAATTATAAATAACACTTTTGTTGTTATGTGTCATGGAGTCGATTCCAACTCATAGCGACCCTGTGCA